TGTTAGCTCTCTGCAAAACCCCCTACCCAAGTTCAAGTTTCTGTCCTGGTGCTTGGATCCAAAGCTACACCAGTTCTGCTCCTTTTCTGCCTGAAATCTCTCCACTGACCGAGCTGAGGACTCTGCCTGTCTGCCGGCTCCAACAACACCTGGGAACCTCAACTGGTTCAAGCTTTGCTAAGTGGTGAGATCCCAACTCTCTCTCTCCAACTCCAGAAACTTGCCTTTTGTTCTCTTACTCCAAGGCACAGCTTTCTAAACCTGACTTTTGCTAATCAAACTCAAACCAGACTTCCCCAAAACCCTAACTGAAACTATGTAATATTGCAACTGTTTAGTTGTCTCTCTCTTGTATGGCTATTATTAGTGGGATCATCATAAGTTCATATACCTGGCAATAAATAAATTTTATGGTCAAGCTGGTTGCTATACTTTTTCCATGAACCTCACCTATTCCTTCCTCCCCTCAACCTCCTCATTTGCTCTGCAGCAACGCTTCTTTTACCTAAGCCAAAGATCCCCATAATGCCCAAAACCACAGTGGGGTCTGCTCATCAAGGAGGTTACTACTAGGACAGTTAAGGCAAAAAGATTGGGACAGGCTGAGTTTCAGACACATAAGGGGATCAGCTTGTACAGGCTGATTGACCTAGTTTGGCTCAGACATGCCCTAATGAACTAAATGCTGGCCCATGAGGGTGTCAACTGGACACCCAGCCAGAATCAGAGGTATTCTGTTTACCTGTGTGCTTGTGTCTGAAAGCATTTTGTTGTTACCTTAATAAACCGATACCTGGCATATGAGGGTGTCAGCCTGTCCATGCTGATCAACCCGGCTGGGTCAGGCGTGTCACATTAATCTGCGCATGTGTGTGTTTGACTGATTTGGTGGATGGAGGAACCCAGCCCGACTGAAACTGAGTCCTGCAAGATCGCTCCATTGGGGGTGAGGACTTGCAGAAGGGAGAGATACAGCTCCATATAGAATTACAAGCAACACAAGCAGCACATTGACAGAATTACAGCGACCCCCAGAAACATACCCCTAATAAAAGAACACACCCCAAAGTGACAGGCAAATCTAGTAACAGCACTCATCGGGGAAAGTAGACTACTATGGAGATTTAGCAGCAAAATTATCCATGAGCCATGTGTAGAGTGCAGTAACGGCCTGTACTGTGCCGTGTTTTATTACTTTCAAAAGCAATTACTTAAACATGGTGCTGTAGCAACGTTGCTGTGCAGCAACATGTAGACATGCCTTTTGTGTAATAACTTTGTAGCTGGTTTCCTGTTTTATTACACCATTCATTCACTGAACATGTGGCCATTTTACACTTTAGGATACGATTAAGTGTTTAACTGCATCTTAAAATTAACATCTTCTGGGGGCTTCAAGTATACACTTAGCAAGACGGTCTATACAGAGGTGTTACTGCCCTGAGCAAGGAGTTGGAGCAGGTGGCCTCCTGAGGTCTCTTCCAGCCTAAGATTTCTCTGATTCTACACAGCCCAATGGTTTCAGCCTTTGTTCCAAGTCACAGTATAAGAGATACTGCCAAGTACCCCAGAAATCTGGTATAACACAGTACTGAGCAACAGTTGAAATCATTAGGTTCCAGTGGTAGAAGATTTGCATTGATGTACATCAAACCCAGGAACTGGCACAGGGAGCTGGCAAGGAAAGGAATAAGGGATACTGGGGATTAGGGTCACAAGCCAATGGGCTAAGGAGAGGGGGACAGACACAGGTAAATAAACATTAGCTTTAAGGTACATAGAGGTCTTCCAGTTAACAGGAAGGAAACAGATGTGGAGCCCAGGCAGAAAACAATTAAGCCAACTCAGGGTCTGGTCCCATAAAATGCTTAATTGCCATCTGCCCGGGCTCCATGTCTGAGCTCCACTGCTGCAGCTCGCAGTCCTAGCTTGGCTATTCCTGACTCTGGGGCCATGTGACTCTCTCCACCACCGTGTCCTGCTCTCCAATGCTGCTCCTTCTGCTTCCTCCTGCTCCCTGCTGCCTTCAGGGAGTTGTGGTGCACACTGCAGTTTATTCCCCCCAAGTCCTTGGAGGCTTCTTGGAGTTGCAGTTCATGCTACAACATTACAGTACATCACCTTCAACATTACAGTACATTACAGGTGGATTTGGCTCACAGAGCTTAGTTGCCAGTGCCAGAAACTTGAAGTATCAGAGAACTGTTTTGTGAGTGGACATCAACAGTCCTGACAATTGATGTATTCCCATGATCCCCAAGGTGGGAAAAGAGAAAAATGTCAGCAGAGAAATGTGAAGGGCCAGCTTCATGCCTGAAAAGGCTTAAGGCTGGCCAACTGGATCAACCATTCTCAATGAGCTGCCGGATAAAAGGATGAGGTGAGGTCACTGACCTGAATTTTCCTGGCTTCCTGTTCCAATGCAAAACCCAAAAAGCACTGACACATGTGTGATCATCAGGGATCCAGGTTTTCCGTTTCCCATGGAAAAATGAAGAAAACCACAGATTCCCTGTTTTTAATTGGAGAAAATTCAGATTTCTCTTCTTAGCAGAGAAATCTGCAGATTCTCTGCTTTTGCAAAGAGCTCTTGCAGGCTGGCACAGCTCCAGCCTGCAAGAGCCAATTGCAAAAACGGCAGGAAACCCCAAGCCTTGGCCAGAGAAGGGTGGGACAGGGGCAAAGGCAGGGCCTGAGCCTGTGAGGCAGCCAAGGCCAGGCTCGGGCTCAGACTTGCCCTTCGCCCCTGGAGCATAGTGGTACATGGAGCTGTGGGGCAGGACTGGGGAAGATGGTTGGGGGCTGAGGGAGTGGGGGGTGCTGCTGGCCCCAGGCGGCACATCGCAGCTGGGAGCAGGGCCAGGGGGTGAGGGCAGGGGTGCCCCTCTGTGAGGGGGGGGGGCTCTGTGGGCAAGCAATGCAGGGCGCAGTGTGGTGGGGCCCGCCATGTATAGGCTGGCCCACTGCTGCCCAC